AGGAGGTGTGGGAGACGATAGATAACCATTTCCAGAGAAAATATTTATCTTTGTTATCGTCTCCCTTCATGCAGATGTTCACAGTGTGGTGAAAGAAAAGGAAAAAAAAAAACCTCCACACTCCACCCTCAGTGATATACGTGCTTGTTCCCACACACACACACACACACACACACACACACACACACTTTTCTTAATCTTACGGTAAACAGCTTCCTTCCACCCTCAGGCCTTGCCTTTCCCAAACTCACCCAGGAACCAGAGCAGGTAACACTCAGTTGGTTTTGGCACTGGTCCATGTGATCCTGACTGTTAAAGCCGAGTCTGTTGCCAAGCAGCTCGTCCTGCCCTGGAACTCTTTGAAAGTTTGCCCAAAAAATATGCATAAAAAAAATAAAATAAACCTCACTAAATCCTAGAGCAAGTCTTGGCTATCAGTAGAACTTCTGTAGGGAAAAAAAAAAAAAAAGCAGAACTCAGAGGGAGGAATTTCTGTACTTGAGTGTACAGAACAACTCTAAATCTAAACAGACTAAACAGAGATGTGACTAATCAAGATGTGACTAAGATGTCGGCCACTTTTTTTTTTTTTTTATGTTCGCAAAAGCTGAAACCTGATAAGTGTTGTACTAATCACCACGTCATTGTTTAGAGCAGCTAAATCAACCCAAAATTCGCAGCTCGGCTGTTTATAATTGACGGGGGTGATTAATAGAGATTTGTTCAGGGCGAAAAAAAACACAATATCACATATTAAACAGGCTGTACATCTGTCTCAACGTTCGCACATTTGTTTCTCCCACTGGTTGGCCAACGCGAGTGCTTTTGACTAACATTTGGCAGGATGGCACGGTGCCACCTCACGAGTGTTCCCGTAAACACTCACCACTGTGGACCCTATACTGTTGCTCCGTGCCAAAATGTCACTGGGACTGCGGTCAACCTCGAACCGCAGCGCTGAATAAAAACCTAAACCCAAGGCGGAGCAGAGCAGAGCCGGGGCAGCATCAGAAACAGGCAGCTGCACAGAGAATAGAATTTATAAGGGAGGTGGCAAAGTGGAGGCATAACACTGCCAGGAACTGTTTTCCTCTGTTTAGCCATATTCCCATGGATACTGACAAAAAGGCACAGAGTTAAAATAGTGGCTGCGAATACCAGAGAATTACCTGAGATGAGGTAATTATGACCAGGCATGGGGACCCTAAAAGTGGTGATTTCAGCCAGAAGATAGTAAACAGTTGTATTCCCTGAAGGCCTTAACATGATAACAGGGTCCGTATGAGCAAATATCTCCGTATGTGCGTTTTTTTACAACAAGTACATGTTGTTACAGGGTAGTCGTGACGCTTCATTCTGCCAAAGGGAAGAAACCTGTTGACAGCTCGGTCCGGCCCCCTTTTCTCCTTCGTAGGTTGGATGTGCACCGACTGGCACTCGGTGTCAGGATGTCAAAGGTTAAGTAATCAAAGGTGGGGCTTGTTATGAAATATACAGATATGACGATGCTCTTGTACCAATCGACCGCAACAATCAAAACCACTGACAGGTGAAGCTAATAAGACGGATCGTCTCGTTAAAGTGTGACGTTCTGCCAGAAGGTGCTGGCGTTCGTGCGGTTGTTGCTTTGGCGTGTGTCATCGACCTGAACAGTAGCTGCGTTCCCATGTAGTTGTTAATTACGTAAAAGGAGTAAAACGTTTTTTTAAAAAGTGTTGGAGCGATCAAGCTAGTGTCGCCTCAAGGTGGCTACGCTACGTTCAGCAGAGTCCGGAAACAGAACCGTTTGTTAACCTACTGCTACAAAACCTCAACGAAGAAGACGATGCAAACCCTTTTTCAGTTGGGCAAGTTGTAGTTTTTCTTTCATCCATCCATCCATTATCTACACACCGCTTAATCCTCACTAGGGTCATGGGGGGCTGGAGTCTATCCCAGCTGACTCAGGGCGAAGGCAGGGGACACCCTGGACAGGTCACCAGTCTATCACAGGGCTACACTTAGAGACAGACAACCAAGCACACTCACATTCACACCTACGGACAATTTACAATCACCAATTAACCTCAACATGTTTCTGGACTGTGGGAGGAAGCCGGAGAACCCGGAGAGAACCCACGCTGCACGGGGAGAACATGGAGACTCCACACAGAAACACCGGGACGCGAACCGGCAGCCCTTTATTCTTTCATATCAGCCGATATTTCCCATGTTTCATGAACCGCTCTCATGTTAGCGCAACAACTGGAAAAGTTTTTTCAAATATCTGCATTTCCAGGAACTTTTTTCTAAATGAATACCTCCAAATGTTCATAAAATAAGTTATGGAAACATGGCTAGTGCGGTCCATTCTTGGCCAGGACACAATGTGCTCCATCACACCACAAACCTGCACAGTTACAGCTCGAGGAACACGACCAAGAGCCAAAGGCGTTGCTACAGCCTGCAAATTCCCAAAGTCTGATGGCCACACCCCGTAGCCAACCATGCTCTGACAGACACCACCAGCAGGTCAGAGCTGTTCTGGCAGCACCAGGGGGGCTACATGATATTATGAAGGTGGTTTTAATGTTGTGGCTGTTCGGTTGCTGGGTTAACTAAAAAAAATGCTAATTGGTTTGAATAAAATAAATATATTCTGAGGTTTGTGTTAAGGTGGAACATACATAAACAGGATTACATAATAAGCTTTAGTAAATTCAAAATAAGCATCAACCTGAGAAAGTTTGAGACAGGAGAAAAAAACTCCCTAAAAGTAGTGAACAGACAGAAACCGCCGGCTTCTAGCGACCGATAAATAATTCAGATGTCCTGCTTTTCTAACCCAAAGTAACATCACGAATGCAAACTTGGAAAAAAAAACAATGATGGTAACAATACCAGCCTTCATATATTGTTAAGTAACACCTATTTTATAATCCCTTCATGAGAACACATCTGGAACATGGTGGGTGGTGTGAGCATTGGATAGGGTTGTAGGAATTTGTCGGGCTTATCATCAGCTCATTTTAATGAGCACATCTCTGTATTGTTCACGTATAATATGTATTGTTCTTCTGTCCAGTCTTCTGTGCACATCTGTAAAGAAAAAAGAAAAGAATTGGTATTAATGTTTTCTGGTATAAACGTCTGTTGAATGTGATCATGGATTCATCCCTCAGGTGCAGCCAGAGGATTTAGCAAAGCATCCTACCTGACTTGTTTTGTCTGTGGAGGGATATGGGATACATCGGCGAAGGCAGCATTTGTGCATATTTGTGTGGGCGTTGGAAAAAGTACAAACAGAAGACAAAGGTTCCCTTCTCCACTACTGAGACAGGTGCACTGTTGAGGAATCACATTTCCTTTCTGTGCACGCTGCGCTCCTCGAGAGCAAACCACAACTCCCCTAACCGGAGAGAAATGGAAGGTCATTTTCATGAAATGTGCCTCAGAGATCAAAAGGGTAGTTTACCGAGCATCAGTCTTCCTGCTCGGGTTTGCGTTGGACAAAATTTCCTCTATTTCCTATTCATGATCAAAGCAGGTTACTTGAGGCGGCGCACCCAACATGAGCAGCACTTCAGCGAGCTGTCAGGATGCTGCAGGAGGAAGCGTTTGTTCTGTAAATGATCACACAGAGTTTTTCTGCTCCACTGGTGTGTGTCGCTACTGTGTGCTTTCAGGCGTCATTTGGGACTGAAGCAGTCAATCATTTGAATAAAGTCATGACAAGAAAATGATTTAGGATGATATTATCAGGCCTTCTCAGAGAGGCGGTGCTTTTTATTAATCTAAAGGCATCTTAACACGTCGGCTTTAGCTTTTGCCTTTACTTACTTGAGACAATCATAGTAGTTTCGGCTACAAAAGAGAGATTAAAGCCCAGATTAATGAGACTGACCACTGATCAGGATCTCAGGTTGAATTTGTCTCTTCCAGCTGTTCGTAGGTGTCTTTCTTCTGAGAATATCCAATACCTAAGAGCATTTTGAAAGCGAGAGATGTGTCGTCTGTGCAGGTGGTAGAACAGAGCAGCACCACTCACTTCATTTATTAGCTCAAAACGATCCCAACATGGAGACAGCACGTCATGCCGTGTACTTTTCTCCACATTAAACACATGAGCTGTCACAGAGTCAGAGTTCATAAACTGCAGTTAAAGCTCTTGTTGCGTAGCGGTCGACCTCAGATTGAGTCCTGAGCTCCGTGGCAGTGCTCAGGATTATAATATTATGTTTAATACATATCAGATATCATACTGTGGCTCTCTGTAGGGGGGTGTGAGGAACACTACCACGTCTGAATGCTGTCAGGTTGACAGATTGGAGAGGCACCGCTCCGTATCCCGTGTCTGAAGCTGAATGCAGATGGATGCATCACCTCTTCTCCCCGCTGAGACAGAAAGTCCCTAACTACCTCGCACATGGACCGGGTTTATACAGGAGCTGGAATGCTGCTGGAATGAGGCCGGAGGGGGCGGGGCTTCCCGGTTCTCCCGGAGAGGAACTGCTTCGTCACCATGCCTATATATGGCATCGCGACTTCCTCCTCGGGACGGATCACAATAAACACTCACAACAGCCTCTGAGTTGAGTTTATGTTTCATATGTGGTGAAGCCAACATGAGGCTGGACTCATGAGGGACTTAATGAAACCCTGATTTATTTTATTTTATTTTTTACAAACCACCGCGCTCTGACAACACAAATAAATGAACGCAGGCAGTAAAAAGCATCGATGCGCTCCAGCGGTTTGAATCTCACCTCCTCGCACATCGAGCCCAGAACAGCGCAAACCTTCAGCGGGCTTTTTCTATTTCTGACACCGCTCTCCGCTGCGATCCCTCCTCGGTGCGCCTCTCTTGCCTACAGGCTTGTTTACAAGTCGCCTCTTCCCGGCATTAGCGTCACTTGACGTCGCCTCTCGCTGGGCGTGGCCTCGGAGCCGGCCAGCCAATCGGCGCGCCGCACCCCCCTGGCAGCACGCGCGTGTCTATTCGTATATAAAAGGGCGCACACTCAGCGTCCTGAGCACACCTCAACAAGCGCCAGGAGCCGCACAACATCCTCCTACTGGGAACACTGCGAGATTTAACTTTTACTAAAGAGGAGAAAGAATAAAAAAACAAACAGCGCTCAGACCCGGAAAAAGAAAAAGACTTTTACCTGCTGGTACTGAACTGAAGACAGCTTGTGTTGGACTTTCACTCTTTTTCTTGTCATTTGGGGACTCTGTTGATTGAGAGAAGACCTGAGTTGATGCATGCTCTCTGCTGACACTGACTTTTGTTGATAATCCAGAGACTGTATCTATAGCAGCTGGTAAGCTTCCTTTTTCCTACGACTTTATGTCTACAAAGATGGAACAGCCTTTTTATCATGACGACTCTTTTCTGTCGGCTTACGGCCACTCAGATGCAGCAATGCACGACTACAAACTGCTAAAGCAGAATATGAATTTGAACTTGACAGAGCCCTATCGCAACCTGAAATCCCAGCTGAGGGCCGAGGCTGACCCGTACCAAGGGGGCCAGCAGGACGTGGGCTCCCTGAAGCTCGCATCACCAGAGCTTGAGAGACTCATCATCCAAAACAGTAACGGTGTCATCACCACCCCCACCCCGGGCCAGTACTTCTACAACCGGGGCATCACCGATGAGCAGGAGGGGTTCGCGGAGGGCTTTGTGAAGGCGCTGGACGAGCTCCACAAGATGAACCAGATGCCGCCTCCTAACGTGTCCATCGGAGCCGGTGGAGTTACGACGTGTTCGCCGGCGGCCTCTAGTGTCTTCGGCTCCGCCTTGCAGCCCGAGCCTCCCATCTACACAACACTGAACGCCTACTGCCCGAACACGAACCTCTCTTCCGCGTCCAGCTACCCCACAGCCACCATCAGCTACCTGCCGCCGCACCAGCAGAGCCACCCGCAGACCTCGACGCACGGCACGCACCCCTTCCAGCACTCTCTGCCGGGCTCCGGGCTCCATCCGCAGCGGCTCGTCGCTCTGAAAGAGGAACCTCAGACCGTGCCTGACCTCCTCAGCAGCGACGGCTCGCCTCCGATGTCCCCGATCGACTTGGAGACCCAGGAGAGGATCAAGGCGGAGCGCAAGAGGCTGAGGAACCGACTAGCCGCCACCAAATGCCGGCGGCGCAAGCTGGAGCGCATCGCCCGGCTGGAGGAGAAGGTGAAAGTTTTGAAGAACGACAACGCGGGACTGTCCAACACAGCGTCGGTGCTCCGGGACCAGGTCGCCCAGCTCAAACAGAAGGTCCTGACACATGTGAGCAGCGGCTGTCAGCTGATGCTCACGAGCAAGATGGAGGCGTTTTAAACTACAGAGACTACTAAATGACTGAAAAGTAATAACACTGGAGTCATGTTCTGCATGCGCAGCACTGGATTACCGGCTGACGTGTTGTCAGCAGCACAGGGCTGAGGGCTGTGTGTAGACAACTCTGTAGGCTATTTAGGGTGAAATGGTACTTTCGGATGCTGGGCACCGCTCATAGGACCATTCAACCCTAGAAACCAGGGCAGCATCCAGACTGAGCAGACACTGAGCACAGAGGGCGCAGGCCCACGAGTCGGGTTTACTAATGGTAGAAAATGGGAATGATTATTGTATTACTTTGTACCTTTTTTGCAACTGATATTGTCATGCAATGCTGCATTTATTCATTGTGTAAATTATTTTGGTCTGTCCGGTTGATCCAGACAGACTGATGATGTCCAATGTTTACAGTGTCTTTTTTATTTGTGATGTGTATTTAAGTAAAGTGTCTTAAAAATGAAATGAAAACTGCGTGTTTGTTTTCTATTCCTCGATACAAGCTGAAACATTCAACACACACACACACATATAAACAGAAAGGAGGAGTGGGAAGGCAGGGGAGGACATACGAGGTTAATTTCCTGACATATTGCTGCCATAACAGTTATTACAGCTCCCAGTGAGGAACCCTTACACAAGCAGATTCTAGTTTCAGTGTTTTTACGCACAGAGCGCAGCCTGCGTACGTAGGCCTTTCCTAATTACGCAAGGGCTTGTCCATATATGGGCATGTTGGTGAATACTCCGTCACAGGGGAGGATTTCTGGGAACCCCCGCCCAGGTAACACAAACTAGTTTCAACTCACTCGCTCCTTGTATTGTATCGATAAGGCTTCACGAGGGTGGCGGAATTTCCTTTAGTTATTGTGCAACACAGAAAAGGAGCGAAGTGCAGCTTCTTATCGGCGACATAGATTAAAGTAGGTCTGACTTCCAACTGAGCAGGATGTAGATGAAAGAAAAACTCAGCAATCTAGAAGCTTTGATCGTTTGAAACTTTCTTTTCATGATGACCTGTAGCATAAGGGTCATTATAAAACCCCATTCACATCCAAACAAGCAACCTGTCGGTGGCACTCAAGCGTCACAGGACATATTTGAGGTGTCAGTGGTCAGTAATTGAAAGACAGCACATGAGGGGAAGTGACAGTGGCTTCAGGAATGTCGGGGGCGTCTCAAGATGCCACGCCGGTTGGCGGAGCAGTAGGCGAGAGTGGGCGTCCGGAGCGCGCAGGAGCATCTGTGTGGATGGATGAAGCTCTGCGCGCTGCCAAGGACAACATTCTGGTGGGACGCATCACTGGCCAAATATGTGCGGCAGCTACATCTCAAAAGATGGACAGCGCGGGGGAAAAGTCCCGCGTTAAGAAGATGTGAATGACTCATTAGATATTCACGCTTCTAGCCAAAGGGGTCACCAAAAGTTTTCAGGGGCCCCGGATATAAACCAACAATGGTTTTAATGATAATACGAGGTGGAGAATGGTGGAAAAACTCTGCGTTAGTCAGGGGGCATTTGGAGCTTCCACGGAAATGTCACCGTTCAAAACATCTTTTGTGACCCTTGGCTGAGAGAGAAACTGAGTGGTCTAATAAAAACTAAAGGGGGATTTCTGTCCTGTAAAGGCAGTTGGTGACGTGCAAGTAAACAAGGCAGAAGATCTGAGCTGAGAAAAGTTTTTCTCTCTCTCTCTCTCTCTTTCTTTCGCAGTACGCACAAAAACCACTTCAAAAGAGTCCCCGTGGAGAGGCTGCGGTTTTTTTTTTCTTCTTTAAATGCGCACACTCTCACCTCAAGCTGTTTTGGAGAGGAAGGTTCTCGACTCTTTTCATCTTACACCTATTTAAATAGCCTAATTTCCATCAATAACAAGTGCCCTCGTTGTCGCCATGGACGTGGAAACAGAACCGGGCACGCCCACACAAGTTCTCCTTTTTCTGTCTTTTTTATCAAGAAACCTTTATTCAAGGGGATGTACATGTTTTTCTTCCAGTTTTAAAATAACCTGCACGTTATAAGAATCCTCAGGTCCTGACAGTAAAGCTCCGGAGCATCACCCAGAAGACACTTTTAACATCGCTGCAAAAAAAAGCTCAAGTCTCCATTTACGCACATCGCAGGCCTACAGATTAGAATGCGCGCAAACACTCCAAAATAAAGTCAATTCAAGCCATGCTGCCTCTCCACACGCCTCGGCCCACAACCCACACTGAGTGTCTGTGGGAACATCTGTGATGTGAACGGTGACGTATGAAGAGCTCTGGGTGGGTTTGATTTTTTTTTTCCTTTCCTCTCCACGAGCCCCCTTCCCCTCCCACAGACACTCACAGGCCTGGCTCGGCTCTCTCGCTCGTTCCTCTCCCTCTCTCCGATCTTCTGTTATCTTCTCGAGAACCATGAATATTCCTCCCACCTTGCCACGGCCATCTGAGGTTCTTGCAGGAGATGCATCACTTGTTATAGACGGATATTAGGAGCTGATTTGGGAGTGGGTGAGTGGGGGGGAGAGGGGGGGTAGCTTCCTTCCTTTTTCTTCTTGTGGCCTAGTTTGAGGAAAGTTTGTTCACATTTTAAAGTTATGCTGAGATTCTACTACAGATATGGAAACCCTCCATTGATGATTCTGATGTTGTTTAAAATCCATTTACTGGACAAACATTTGTGCTTCATTAATGACGCGCCTCATATATAAATCTATAGGCCTTCACCACCTGCTGCCATCACCAGTGAGGTATCAGGGCCTCACAGAGGGGCCCTGGCTGTTACACAACACAAAGCTGTGAAGGTTGCGACAGAATATATAGAAAAACATAGTGTTGGCATTCAAACAGCATTTGTTGATGCTCGCTGACGTCCTAATGTATGTCGGCGTTTTAACACTACAGCAGAGACGCGGCGCAGAAAGCAGGTCTGCGCGCACACATACGGTCACCGTGGTACTGATGGGGGGAGTGTTTGTGGGAGCACAGCGCCATCTACTGGAGGGGAACAGGAAGGGCAGCTGCGGGAACAGTTGGTGTTCAGCAGCAATGTCCTGTGAGTGATGCAAGGACACACACATCAGTACAAAACACACAAACAAACAACAAACAAAAACAGAAATATACACATGTATGATGACATTCTGATGCTAAAACAGGGGTCTCAGTTTAAAACAGTATTAGATTAGAAATAGATATTCCTTTAAGAACTCTAATTGATGAATCACACGTACGTTTATGTTATGGCAGCTCTGGAACATTATTTTTGTGGATTTTGTTTTCTTTACTGGTGATATGGTGTTACAAATATTCTCGGTGTCATTATTATACTTGTTTTTATATTACTTATTGAGACTTTTTCCTCTGTTTGTTTGATGGGTTGTACGGCTGTCTGGGATGGGGACACGTTTTGTTGTTCTGTTTGTTAAAATCAAACAAAAACTGAATAAATGCCTTTATAAACACTATCATCCGTAGCCTACTGCATTAGCAACGCTGATATTAACTTTACTGGTGTATGTTTTGCAGTAACACAAAAGCAGACATTTCTTAAACATCATTTTTTGGTGTTATGTTTCCTATGTGGGACAGTGGCAGCAGAGATAAACTGGAAACATGTGCAGAAAGAGCAGTGATGATGTGCCGTTATACTCTCAGGATGTTGTGTTTGAGTTCTACCACTCAGGACTCAGGTCGCCCTGAGAGGTCACCATTTATCCCCCCATCAGCTCTGACCTTGGACCTGACGATGTTCTGCCAGGACATGATGCATTTATTTGTGGATGTAATCTGATATTTGAATCAACAACTCAGTGAAGTTTTGTCAGCAGTAGGTGCAGCAGTTATAGAAATATTCACCCCCCACCTTGGATGTTTATCCTTTTATTGCTTTTCTACATTGAATTTTACATGTTTAATTTAACCTCTTAACCTTTTGGGTTATACTACCACAGTAGTTTATTTATTTATTTATTTATTTGTAATTATTATTTTATGATTGTTTTTTTATTTTTATTCTACTTTTTTTATTTTCTTTATATTTTTTATTCCTCTTTGCTATTTGATCTGATCAAACAGAAAGAATGATAAATTAAAAACTGCACATCAAACAAGAGCTTGGGTCTTAGGAGGTTCAATATGCTTTTTGGACAATAATTTAGAAAAAGAGACTTTTCATGTCCAAGTGAAAACAGATTTCTACACAGTAATGTCAATTAATTAAAAGTAAATTAATAAAACAAGTGATTTTCTTTGTCAAACTTAGCAAGAAATTAAATGAAAAAGTTGTGTTCGTTTTTGCTGTTGTACTTTTTGTCTAAATGGATAAATAACTGACTGTGGTTCAATGCTGAAAAGCCATAAATGTGGAAAACTTCTCAGGGGTGAATACTTTTCCTGGGTGCTGTATATAAGTGTGTTGTCATCAGTATAGCTATTGAAACCTGCATTGTGGTGCTTTTGTCTCCCCCTGCTGGCAGAGAGAGTAACTACACAAAGACTGCTGGTGCATGATTGTCACCTTTGACTGTCCATCGCTCTCTCTAGTCTCAGAAACGTTTCATGGATGCTTCCTGGGTTTTTCCTCTTTACTCCCAGTTTCTACTTCCTGTTCTGTCTCCATCACTACACTCTTCAGCTCCTGCAAACCATCCTCTGCTGGTTCACGTGGAGGGAGACGCTGCCACAGAAAGCTGACAGGTAGATTTACACTTCAGCTTTAAATGCTTAACTTAAGCCTCGATTTCACTTTATAATGATGCGCGCAAAGTTTGGGTTTAACCAACTCTGTATTGTCGACACTAACGCAGAGAGAGTGCATCAATTATTTATATCCATAGCAGCATATCTGCCTCTCAGCACGGCTTCTAGGATTACAGCACAGTGTGTTGTTTTTTTTTCCCGTCTGGCAGGGACGGCACAAAATTCAGCCGCCATCATTTACATACGCTCCCTAAAGCGCTGGATCATATTTCCATATTGCATTGAACACAGCATTAAATCAAATGTATTGTCCTGCAGAATATTCCTCCTCTTGTGGTTAGTCACTCAGCTGTAGCTGGAGTGAGAGGAAGTCAGGAGGTGAGTAAGTCCAGGAAGAGAAACAGCAAATCTGTGGCCTTTGAAGGTCAGATTGCAGCTCTGCATAAACAAAATTAAAAGAGATAACCTCGTCTGCGTTACAGTTTGTCTTATCGCTGCAGCCCCGACGCCCTCGCAGACATCAGCCTGCTGGAGTCATTTGTGGGCCCTCCTTGTTCTGCTCAGTCATTTATTCTGAAGATAATGACTTTCACAGAGGGCGGGTTATTAGCCAGCATCATCAAGAAGCACCGGTTCACCACAGACACACACACACACACACATTGCGTCTCATTGTCTGCCCTTAACCGACAAATGTCAAGTGCTGGGTGGCATTATCAGTTTGTGCTGGCTGCATTTTTCACCTGCAGAGGGCACACGCTGGGACGACTCACTCCCGTGTCAAATCCACAAATTAGTCTTTTTAAATGGGATTTTTTTTTCTGTAGAGAGATTTACAACATTGTGACGATAAGCTGTTGGTTCATTTCAGGGATTTATGGAGGAGGGGGTTGTGTCACATGATGGCGTCTTGCAGGAAAGATTTAAGTCCCGCCAAGCCCACATAAGATCAGACTTACAATAAATGCTTTAAATATGAGAGTGTTTGGATTTGCAGCCGGGCGAGGCTGAGTGACAGCTGTCTGGAGAGGAGGGCAAACACACTTGTCACGGCCTATCAGTAAATTGGGGGGCTGACAGCGGTGAGAAGACAGTAATGAGAGGTGGAGGCCACGTGTTGAGTCACTGCAAGTCAAATGTTTTGAGAGCCTTCCTGGGGTGATGTATGCTAATGCTGGGTTTGATTTAAACAGATCTGAGCCACCAGGATGTCAAAACGCCTCATTATCGGGCCAAAATAACCTCATTTTCCCGTAGCTCATGAAACACGGACACATGGGAGCGTAATTGGCGATACACAGAGGGGGTTAAGTTTCAGCGCAAAGCCATCGGCGGTGCAGCGAACAGAGGGAACAACAGAGGAATGAAGTTATCTGCGGTGCGGCGCCGCTTCTATTTCCAGAACTCTGAGGTTTCCGATACAGAGGCTCCGTACATCACTGCTCAGTAGGAGCTCTGCTATTTCTGCAGAAGCCTACAAGTTTGCAAGAAGAAAAAAATAAAAAATCCACTTTCTCTGATTAAGTCAAAATGCATAAATCTGCTCGGTTGCTTTCAAACTTTCCAAAGAAAATCCATAAAATATTTCAGCTACTTGATCAGACGTCATTTTA